CGTGCCGTAGGAAACCTGAAACAGGCCTGACGCTTAATGGTTAGTATTCACCCTTATATTTGCCTCAGCTATAAGATAATACACATCCTGATATAGCGACATGTATATTATACTGTCAATCCTCTCTGCCCCAAGGCACATCACATGGAGAGCTTGTGTTCCCGCTTCCTTTTTCAAGAGTCAAAATTCATGGTTTGGGGGATTTTGTGTATATGTTTAAATGTTTAAAAAGAGGTTGACTGTATTTTTACATACGTTTTGACGGAATTCATAGGCCCACTCTTAAAAACGAAGTGGTCTCTCCATACTTTCTTTGCTTCCTTTTGCATTCTGTCGTGAAAATCTACTTTATCTTTAAAAGTTTTTCATTTATTAATATTAGCCTTATAAGTATTCTTCATGCTGATTTGCTGATTTCTGCCGTGAATTACGCTGACTTTATAAATGAAGCTCGTAGAATAAGGACCAAATCTACAGCAATCTCGCTTCATTAAATTTTACGCCATCGACAATTATTATCTAAGGCAGCGTTACCAACGAGGTAAGCGAAGATCGGAGGCACTGTTTATATCTCTGCGTCAAAACACCTAGTAATTTATACGCTATCGAGTATAAACTTAAAAGAGTCAGGAAGAAAAAAACGAAAGAAAAAAGACCTACCCTAAAAATCAGACGTGAAATATATATACATATACCAAATATAAAGGTTCTTGCCATCATAAATGTTTTGTGTCGGGGAATGGTCCAAACTTTTAAGCTAGGTTGGTGGCGGCGGTCATTCCTGCCATCTGGCGGCGGGTATGACCAGTCCACTAACCATCGGCGGCCCGTGTGTTATTAACGTGCATGCGAGCTCGTAAATCCATCGCCCTATCACTCTTTCCATGTCGGTCGAGTGTTGTATACTTACATGCTAACTCATAAATATGTCACTTGGGCATAATACTCCCACTATACGATTCGGTTTCGATTCGAGTTGATTGTTAATAGCTAGCCGACGGTGCCATACTGTACGTAGTCCCCAGATATTGATCACGCCGCTGGTGAAGCGACGAGAGACCTCATATTTATCCATTAAGATATATTCCGTGTGTTCATGTAAGTGTGATTAGGTGTATTGATCGAAGTATGGTGTCTCCCTCTCGCATATGGTCGGCGATGAGTACAATCAGACCGTGAATATGACCTTTATGCCTTGCCATGAGTCATGTTTCGAATCATTAGCATTGGCCAAAATAGCGTAATAATGATCTTAGCTTGCTTTGTACTAATGATTCTTCTCAGTTAACATGACGTAATAATGATGGTACGAAATACCTAGTAGGCAAAAGTACGAAAAATATCCTTCGTCGATGGTAATCAAGTTATAATGAAGCCTTTCAAGATGATAGCGACGATGATTTGAATAATTGAGCCTAGTTGAGTGAAGGTAGACGGCGTTTGTTGCCTTGTTAGAGCTGATGGCTGTATCTCGATCGCAAGAGCTGAGTTCTGATTATAACCGCGTATGATCTGATATTTACCTCCAACTTACATACAACGGTAATGACACCAGTCGATGGATTATGCCTGGAGCGATACGCACAACTGTTGTTCGTCAGTCGTTTTTCCTCTTTTTGTTTTGTATTAAACAAAGAAAAAACTGCTCCGGCGGTGGTTAAATGGGCTGGATGACGGCGAGCGTCAGCGAAACAAAAGTTAAAAGAGCTGCCATGATAAGCGCCCGTTATGCGTGATGACGTTGTGTTTTCGGTGTCATCTCGTTCTGTCAAGTGTCATACATCCCGCAGGTCTCCCGTGGCGGCCACCAATTCCGTGTACGTTTTTCTTCCGGTGAGAATTAATTACTGGGCTGGCTAATTTAACAAGCTAGAATCGTTTGCACTCCACAGTTCAGCAGACTAATCATAGCAATGTTTAAAGCCTTTTAGACGATCCAATTACTTATCCCGTAATCGATTAAGTCCGCGCAGCTTTATTAATATCCTCTCCGTGCTTAATTAACCTGATTTATATCCATAACAATTCCCAGCAACAAATAAACAGGAGGACGCAAGCACGAATTACAATGTTTAGCTAGACTACGATACGGCAGAGATTGCATACACGCTGTTGCGGTCACAGAGCATCATACACTAAGAGCCTTTCACAGTCGCACCCATAACGATATACATACCCTACTGGTCCCCATTAGCCTTGAAGCGTAAGAGCGCGTGCATCGCAGAGTTAACGTCTGACTGGCGACAAAGCCCCCGTCTCCCAGATCCCTTGACTTCGACATATCAAACTCGACTCGATTTACCGCAAAAGCACGCCGGATCTCGGCCTCCGTCACATCGAATCCTAACCTCTAATCGCCAATCAATTCCCGAAGATTCAGAAGTCCTCAGATCCTCCAATACAAAGGAAACAATCAGGGTGTTAGTGTAAAGGGCTGGCCGCCTCGATCGACTCCGCTTCAGCATGGTTAGTGTTGCCTAGGCGGGGAAACGTGTGCTTCTCTGTGATGGGAGAGCGACTTATCATGCGTTCTGTTTGCTTTATTACCAGTATTAGGGCTCTTTTGCCGGCTTTAATAAACACTTACATTGTTGATACTGGCGCTGATATTGTGCGTGTTGTTGATGATGTGTTTGTTTTCTGGTTATTTTGTTTTTATGAGTTGCATTAGGTTACGAACCGATACGGGGAGTGCAGCTTGGATTTTCTTTTTCGGGTAACATGTCAACATTTTTTTTTTTTTTAACTTCCACGAAAAAAGATTAATAGAACGTTCCCTGGTTTCATAACCTAACAAACAAATGAACGCCTACGAAGTGTAAATATTGAAGTATTTTTTCCCCTTCCCAACACTTCGATTATAATTCTGATTGCAATTCATTATCATTTATAATTTGAGGCACAGTGGAATACTTGATTGCGATTATGTTGTTCCCACATATCCGCCACACCATCTCCCCTTGTCTCCAGTTCGAGAGTCTCTCTCTCTCTTTCTCTCTCCTCTCTCTCTCTCCTCTCTCTCTCTCTCTCTCTCTCTCTCTCTCTCTCTCTCTCTCTCTCTCTCTCTCTCTCTCTCTCTCTCTCTCTCTCTCTCTCTCTCTCTCTCTCTCTCTCTCTCTCTCTCTCTCCCTCTCCCTCTCCCTCTCCCTCTCCCTCTCCTCTCTCTCCTCTCTCCCTCCTCTCTCCCTCCCTCCCTCTCCCTCCCTCTCCCTCTCTCCTCCCTCTCTCCCTCCCTCTCCCTCCTCCCTCTCCTCTCCCTCCCTCTCCCTCCTCTCTCCTCCCTCTCCCTCTCCCTCTCCCTCTCCCACTTCCCTATCACTCTCTCTTCCTGCCGCCCTCCTTCCCACCCTCCCTGCCTCCCTCCCTTTCTTGTATTTTCGACATCGCAGCCTCTCCCAGGACCCCAATATCTCCCTCGCACATACAAACTCGAGGAAATATTTGGTAACCAACAATTCGGTTCTTAAAACTTTACTTTTTGGCCAAACTTGCGCTATTTTCGCCCATTGCACCGTCCTCTGATGCGCAAGTAAAGAGGAATATTCACAAACAACTCTCTTGTACTTTTGCTCGTTAGCCAACGCTTAGCACGCGGGTAATACAGACAAAGGAAGAATTCTATATGCTTACGAAGAGCCACGGCGCATAAATTCAAGGGAACTATAAGGATAAATCTATTAAAAGTTCTCTAATTCTGTCGTTCGGGGGACCACAAATTGAGGACTCTAATATATCTACGCTAAGGTATTGGCGAGAAGGCTTCCCCCCCCAATGGACTTTTAATGGCTGCCACAAATACTTCACCAGGAAAAGTTGGAAGCGAAGGAAAAATCGCCTGTATGTGTGAAACAAAATATTTGTGTTATTCAGTATCTGTTAATACAATTTATAGAACCCAAAACGCATTATTCAGCACTCCCCCCAAATTGTTTTTAGATGTTTCATTTCATTGTGAACAAAAGCACCTTTTTTCAAGTTTGTACATATTTTGGCAGATCGAGTTTTTTGGGGGGTCACATAAATATACAATGACAGTGGTGCTTACATGAATGTCTAAGCTAATTGTATCATTTTATAAAACTTGGGCTTTCCATTCGACATTGTTTTATAGCGAAGACACGAAAGTTCACGATGGCGCCGGCTGAGGGGTCACCGCTCGTCCAGGCGCTGACGTCGACCTGGGGAGGACGAGACGTTTAACGAGGCTGCGTATGGCAAAGGTCATATATTATTTAGCAGGCATAAAAGGCCTTTCTAACAGGAACAGCTAGAGATTTATGGCTTCCCTCACCCGTGCAATCGCGCCGCCAAGCTTTGTTTCGTCTTCCTTCACTAACCTTTTATTTGTTTATAGATTTATTTCGCGATCCACGTCATTTGCTTCTCCACCTCCCGCAGCAGAGCAGCGCAATACCAGGTGTCTCGGAGGTCCGGGCCGATACTAATACGCAAATAGCACCACCCTTAAAGTGTTTAATGAAGGCCTTGTTTAGTTTTTACCCTGAGGCGGTCTTAGTGCCCCATTCATACGGCCAGATGGCGCGCATGCCCCGGCCAGATAATGGGGGATTTTTTGTAACGTGACGAGTTTATCAGATCGGCCATTTTTCTTTTTTATACTTAATTTCTCTGGCTGTATTTCTTTTGTGGATTATTTTTTGCCTCTAATGATAAAGATCTATTGCAAAAAATAGTATTAATCTTTTTTGTGTCACAAGTCGCTTCATCCCATTTATGAATAATGTTTGGCCTATGATTTTAACAACTTGTAACAACCCCACATAAATGGCTTGCGACCCGCGGCCACCACATGCGAGAGAGGGAGGAGAGGGGAGGGGGGGGAGGTGTCCTGCGAGGAAAACAAACTCAGGCGCAGGAGACTGTGCTTGCATGAAGACGAAAGGGAAGGAGCGAGAGGGGCAGGGAGGGAGGAAGGGAGGGAGGGAGGAAGAGAGAAGGAGAAGGAGCCAAAAGATCATTCTTCCGGTGGATGTTACCCCAATCACGGGGTTCGCTGAGTCATGTAACAAGCAGTGAGA